GATATTGTGGTAAGTATGCATACTATGGGCTTACACTAAGAATGATTTTAACAATTTTCTGTTAAAATCAACAGGGAGAGGTGTGTAGAAACAGCTGTTTCTTAGCACCTCTCTAGCAAATTTTGACAGATAATCCTTCAGAAGTTCAGTTCAGTAAGGTGCTCTGCAAATGACGTATCCTTATGTGGGAGCTCTGATCAATAAATGTATCTGATTAGTGGGCGATTTGAGTAGGGGATGAGCAAATGCATCAAAAAAATCTCTAAATTATCTTGTTGTAACAAGAAGACATCTTATAAAAACATGAAAAGCATCTTCTTATAAAAAGAAACTTTTCCTGTTATTACCTGAAACTGATTTTTTTTAATGGCGTGGTGGCAATACACTTCAATCAAGCATTTATATAGAAAGGTTGTCATGTAACAGAGTATTTCATTGTATAACTGGGACTGAACACAAGTCATATCTAACACTCCTCCACCTCTACCTTGTGCTGGCACTTACTGGTCTCATCTCATGCCACATATTGTATCATCTACATTATGAGGTCTGACTTACTCACTTTGGGCCCACTTGGTCCAGGCCACCCAGCTGGTCCCTGCTTCCCAGGAAGCCCAGGAGGACCTGTCCGACCCTTACAGGAGACATCAATTTTAACACACAGCCTCAGACGTAGAAATACTTTATAAAAGTCTAATAAAAACAATGGCTGCCACAGCTGAAGGAGCAGTTATCTGATTATGAAATCAGACCCTCTCATGTCTGTTTGCTTTGCAGGAGAATCTAAGTGCAGGATTTGCTGCATAAGCTGACAGCCTGCTTGCCACAGTATTTATCAGCCACTGCTGCACATGTAGGGAGAGAATGACTTTAACAAGCCCTGTCACTTTGCTCTCTTTAATTAAATGATGGGCTGTATATAGAACCGGAGCCCGTGCTTGTGGGAAATAAAATGATTTATGACCTGGCTGAAGCACTAAGCTAAATTGCACTGCAGTGCTGCAAAGCTGCTCAGTCAGGCCACCAGCCAGTGAGGCTCTCCCAGTGGGCCGCTTTTGCTGCTCGACCACAGCGACGGATCATTTAAGGAGGTCACTCCTCTTCCGCCTGCCCTGATCAAACGCTGCTGCCCTGAGCTTTCAATAAAGCTGTGTGGGCTTGTTCCTCCCATCCTAATAGAAAGGGAGGGCTGTCTGACAGGGAGGCATGATGCTGGATGTCTTTGAGGGGTCAATACTGTGGCAATAAGCTCTCTTTCACTGAAAGGAGACCATCCCTCTGCCATCAGAACAGCCTGTCTCAGCAGCTCTGCATCCCGTGCATCCTGTCCGTGTGTCTGCCTCCTGTCAAGGTTGTACTCGCTCACAATTCCTTGATGTACACAACCAGGCACTGGCAGCACTCTGAGTTACAGCTAGCGAGCAGGCGGAGGCCCTGTATCTCATATTTGAGTAAATCCACTTAGCGGGGAAAATGGAGTGATTAATGGAGACTCTCACCTTTTGCCCAGGTCTTCCGATTTCTCCCTGGCAACAGGATGCAGAGGAGGGGAAAAGGACAGAATTTATTTAATACACTCCCATCAAACATCTTTTAGTCAAGTGCAACAGGTATATAAACATGATCTTTAGAAAATAATGCTTGTAAATATATAATGAGCTACATAACTGACACGAGACCAGCACATGGGAGAGTAAACTGCCTACCTTTTCTCCCTTAGGCCCTCCTATTCCTGGTAATCCAGGTGGACCCTGATGAACATAAAAACAATAAATATATGGCACATGCTCATAAATCTCAGAGATAACTATCTTAATTAGTTTTATTGTCCACAGCATCCCACCACAAAGTCATGTCTGCTTCTGGGAGCCCACAGCTGCAGTTTCAATTAGCTAAAGGCTGAGTGGCCACTATTGATTTAAAAAGTGCCTTGTGGGTGTCTTTTGATAAACTGAAACGCTGCTGCAGTCCAGCTGGTGCTGTAACAGCCTCAGATGGGCAAAGCTTTAACAATCTCTCAGTGGATCTGATTTTTGTTCATGAAATGCCGGGCTCAAGGCACCTATATTGAACCAAAACGTCTTCATATCTTTCATCACCGGAGTACACAAACACACGGACACATGCTTGTGTTGGTAATCCCTGGAATTTACGCGACCCAGTACGCCTTTCCAGGCACACAGCTCTTCGGACCTTTTCTGAGAATGATGTGTGGGGCACTGGCAGCCAGTGGAAAAAGGCTATTTGTGTCTGAGCTAAATGTAGAGCGTTAATGGGCCGCTGTGTTGCATGTGCCAGAGAAATCCCCATCTCCTGCTTTGCAGGAACTCTCAAGTTGAAGAGGAGATGGGGGGTAATACGCTGTTGGAGTACTGATTCTTAACACCTTGGAACACCAGAGGCAGTCTGTGATTTAGCTATACAGACAGTGAATCCTACGCAAGTCAGATTGTGGGAGGTGTGTTGGAATGGTGTAATGACGCTAATGCCAGATTTACAGTACATTAGTGATAACTATGGTGTTTGGGAAGAATCCTACCTGAGGTCCAGGGGGACCAGGAGGCCCGCGGGGGCCTTGGACGCAGGCAGAACCTTTGTCCCCATTGCCCGACTCTGAGTCACCACCACCATGTGAAATGTCCTCATTCTGTAAAATAAGAATAGAATTCTGAATTTCTTTTAGAACTTGGACAAATGCTCTTTAGATAGAACAGATGTAACAGAATTATGCTTTTTAAAATGTTGATAAAGTTTGTCAAAGACATTTATGTCTGAAATACATCCCATTCTTGACAAAATTCGCAGCCCACAGCAAAGGACTTATTAAGACATTTGTTCCACCATCTGAGTGTTTTGACAGCGTCAAACGGAAGTCAGAAGACAGTAAGCGTGGGGCAGTTTGAGTATCACCCAAGGACATATCAACAGTCAGATATTCCACAATAGAAAGTCACATGACTTTGACTCACATGAGCGTGGCGGCGCCAAAGTGAAGGGGGTGGAGGAAACAGTGGGGGTGGAGGCGGACTCAGTAAACAGCATGGGCTGAATCTCCTCTGCTGCTCCTGGGATCTGAGAGCTGTGCAAGGTGTGCATGCAGTCAGTCACACAGGCGACGATGCCAGGGGTCAAAATTAGAGGAACACAGTCAGAAGAGGTCATGTTTATGTTTCCTGAACTTCTGCAACAACTGAATGTGAGAGCTCTGCATCAAAATGAGAATGCTTAACTCATGACTCATGGGCATGCACAGGCAACTGAGGTACATTTCATGTGACACATGTCCAACATACATCCCACATATACAGTAAAAATTAGACAAGTCAGAGAGGTCAGAACATGCAGGAGCAGCACAAGCGACAAGGAAACAGGTGCAAACTATCAAATCATGACACCCATCCAGCAGAGTTCCTTGAGCTGGACACGGATATGAAGCGCCTGTGCTTCTCACTGAAGCACTGGAGCTGGTCTCGCTATTTATAGAGGCATTTCCAGTCTACCTCATGGGCGTCAAGAAAATAAAAACAAGTGTATTTTAAAACGATAAAGAGCTCAAACTGAACCCCAGACCTATGCATTTGGTATCCATGCTTTTACAGTCCAGCTCTCTCAACACCTGTGCATGCATAGCACTGTATGTACAGTACAGTACAGTACACACACAGACACACACATACAGGCACAGGCTTACAATATTCTTACCTGCTGGGAATGAAACAAAGCTGTCCAGAAAAGAGGATTGAGCCAGGCCATAACAAAACCACAGTGGCAGATACAGTCCAAGTGTTAGAAGAGTCATGCTGCTCCAGATAGTTGCCTGACTTTATTTCTGAGCCACAGCAGCCCTCACACGCTGCCTTTCCCTCTCTCTCTCTCCCTCTCTCCTCACTGTCCTCTCTCTCCTCTGCTCCCCTCCCTCTCTGCTCGCTCTGCTCTGTCTCCTTTACGCCCTCACAAGAAGGTACCGACCAATGCCCATTAAATCTTTCCTCTGCATCAGTGTGCGCTAAAATTACAGGAGACAGCCCGCCAGCTGCTTCGAGTGCCAATATTAGATCTCTACTACTGCAGGGGGTGCCTTTTGTTGTTTCCACTCCTCTCACAGGGAGGCTGATCATGACTAACACATAGTGGGCTTCTCTGCAAGAGATTCAAATAGGAATCTGCAGGGAAGGTGCCATTTGGGATAACTTTGATTAGTGTTTCTGATTATGTTTATTTATTAGTCTGTCTTTTTGCATTCAGTGCAGTGTATTTCCCAGTGTGCATTGTGGTGTCCATTTAGTCCAGGCCAGATTGGTTTTATTGCCCCGTCTGGTCTAAAATTAAGTGTCTGCATTTTCAAGAGGGCTCTTAGGGGGGTGTGAGTCCAATACAAACAAACAAAAAAACAACCTGAAAATACAAGCAGCATTAATTAATGCTTTACTTATAATATAAAAAGTGTTGTCAGAAATATCGATTAATCAATACGCATCAATTCTGAGTCAAAATCAATTGCAATACTCGTTTTTTTTTTTTTTTGCAGTATGAATACATCGATACTGGCTGCACTTACTTGGTCTCTTTTTTTTGTTAATGTTCACTGCAGTCACACTGCTACTAACCAAGAAAAGAAACGTCAAAATGTATTATTTAAAACTGAGGGTGACTGTGAGAAATAAAGCAACTTCACATAAACTAATAAATAATCATTTAACTAATAAAAATCTAGATATTGCATAAGCGTGTCACTGTGTTAGAAATCCTCTATCCATGTATTTAAGATGACAAAGTGTGAAATCAAAGGAGGGTGTAAATTTATGCATGCTTATAAGCAATTTGACAAATCTGGACCAAAGTGTTTTTCAGTACTGAGCTGACCATATTTTACTTTCCTAGCATGTTAATAGTTTAATGAGCCACATACTGCATGCTAAAAATGTTTGATTATATCTATCTTTTGGGAAAAAACAGATTTGTCATAAAGGAATAAAGACAAATAATCTTCAGTGTATGTGTAAAAATGTTTTATTGTTGTATTAATCATTTTGTTAAATTTACTATTACTTTGTAGTAGGAACTAATACAAAAAAGTTCAGTTATTTCATAGAAACAATCACAGTAAAACCAAAAGCAGTTTTATATTTTCCCCTGTTTGCGTTTCCTGAGGAAAACAGTCACTGCTCTTCTGATAATGTTCTGGACAGATGAAAAAGCAGCTCCTTCTTTCAGTCTATAAGTTGGAGCGTGTGAGCCAAGGAAACTCCTGCAAATGCAGACAACACAGCATTATATTAGACCTGAGGTTAAACCTGAGTTCATCTTCATCCACTGAGACTGAATGTGGAGAACAGTCAAACACCTCAAATAAGGGGACAGAGAGCTTAGCACCATGGATACAGTCCTCAATACAACCTTCAAACATGTCTGCGAGGGGTTGCGTGGATACATTCAACATAAACACAGAGGGCCATGCTTTCTAATTATGGGGACCCTGAAATAGAAAGGTCAGGTTGGTGTGAGGTGGAGGGACTGTCAGAGGAATACAACAGTTCTGTCGTGCACCTGGAGTGCGCGGATTACTATTGAGTGAGGCACGTCATTCACGCAGCACTACGAGGATAAGACAAGAGCCAAGTAAACATCAAGTTGTCTGTTGCTCTATACGACTCGTGACCCGAGATGCTGCAGCTTTTAATTGCGCCTGGCTTTGCTGCTGCGACCGTCAGTGTCATTCGAGTCATTATCCATCTCAACTTCAACTTGGTAGGCACCAGGTGAAAATGAAACAGGGGCTGCCTTTGGTCACGTATACTGTCACGTGTCAAAAGGGCTCACTGTCATCACTTCATGTCTGAAAGGGCTGAGGGATACAAAGTGGTATGAGACAAGACTTAATGTCTCAATTCTTATGACCAATGCCAAGTTCTTGACCTTTTAATCCAGTTCTCTGGAAGTCTGCAAAAAGTGTGCATAAATTGTGGATTTGGGCAGCTTTAGGCCCTGTGCATGCCCATAAGGTCGCCAAATCTGCGAGTGCACATAAGCGCGAGTGCACATAAGCCTGGACATTTGGATTCAACCACTTCATTGTGATGCTAAAGGTGTCTTATTCTGTTCTGATGGCAGTCAGGAAACCCCTCAACATTTCTCCAGTGGAGGTTCCAGGCCTCCTAGAGAATGAGGACCTGATTAAATCATTATGATTTAATCTTCGCCAGAGGAAGTCTCAGCTCCCTGGGTTGAGGCATTGACGATGTTGGAGAAACACCGACACACAACAGTGTAAAAGCAGCAGTGAAGTGCAGTTACAGCATCAATTACATCCTCAACCACCAGGGGGTGTGACATTTGCACAGGATTGATTTTGTGGATTCCCTGCCTGTTATTACTGTTATTACAATAGATTGTATCTAATAATGGACATAGCTCCTGTGACACCACCCACTGGTTTGTGGACTGCTGTTTTGAAGCCTTGAATTCGGCATTTCCACCGTCACCATCTTGTTTTTTAGAGCCAGAAACGACCATATTTGGCTGAGAGGGTGGTACGAGGGGTGGATCTAACTCATACGGTAGGGAGGATGAGTAAAAGTAGAATCAGCCGGTGAGATGCTAGATGAAGAGCTGATGACATCAGACTCCTAGGGCACCTCTGCAAACAGTTCACTTCCAACAAGTAAACTTCTTTTACCTGCTGTGCTGTGTGATGGAAAAACACTTGCTGCGGGGATAGCAGGGGACTTTAGCCAGGAATACGCCTGCTGCTTCATCACTCAAGACAAGCCGTCATCAGTTGAAGACACACCTTCAAGCAGGCAGCCATGTTGTAATGGAGACAGATACCCCTGCTGCGCTGTGCTGACGGGCCAAGTTAAACCAAACTAAGCCAAGCCAGCACATGAGTATGGAAAAAGGGTTTTAGAGTGCAGCAACACCTCGCAGCCAGCCAGTCACTCAGAGCGGCCCGCTTTCAAATATGCATGACTTTGGGCCTTAATGAAATGTAAACAGGTGAGAAATACTCCCCCTGTGCAGCTGTCATGAATATTGAAATTAGCTATAGAGACCGTTTGTTGTCCTGTCCTGCTGTAATCCTATACATTTCTGCTGTAAAGTTGAACATTTTTACGTTGGGGTCTATGAGGATTGACTGCATTTTGGACCCAGCTTCAAATGTTTTTTTTTTTTTTTTATAAACCACAGTTTTTGGCACTTCAGCATTGGCTTGATTTTTCAGCCTTTGAGGTTGATGCTCGGTTACAGACAAATAAGCCATTATAATGAGCACACTCATCTCTTGCGGATTCTTTCATTTTGACCTTCTCAGGGTGACTGAGATGACTCTACTACATATACTCCTGACAGGTGACAGTTACCTGCTGTTTTCTGTCGGAGGACGGGTCAATGAGCACATTTAGGAGACTTGGTTTCTCCCAGTCACTCAGGCTAAGCTGCAAAGCACTGCGCAGCTCCTCCACCGTCCTCACCAGGAACCCTCGACCTCCAAATGCTGTCATGACCTCATCATAGCACGCCTCAGGTAGCAGGGTCACAGGAGGGGCTCTGACAGGCAGCATGATGATATGAGATACATTTCATTACATCACAGCTGATTACGTGACTTGTGAATGTGTTATAATTATTTAACAAATAATGTGTGACTCACATAGAGGTCAGATCTCCCATTTTTACCATTTCTTTCCACGTCTCAGGATCCACTCCACTGTAAATACCATTATTGTTGACCACAATGATGACCACAGGCAGATTATACCTGTTAAAAAAACACAGAGAGTTCAACTGAATAGCAGTAAGGGGGTGAAGTGTATATATTGTTTCAGAGGGGAGGCAACCAACCCACCTGCACATGGTTTCAACCTCCATGCCAGAAAATCCAAAGGCACTGTCTCCTTCCACACACACTATCCTTTGGTTTTTATTCTCGCCCCTCTCCACAGCAGCCGCAGCTATAGCAAAGCCAAGGCCAACTCCCATTGTTCCAAATGTTCCAGCATCCAACCTAAACATTGTTAGGATTAGATAACAACAGTCTACTTACATTTACACAGACCTGAAAGCTTACTTTAGTCAACACTAGATCCTTACAACACCTTTTACTGCAAAATGCGTATTTGCTGGGCTCTATGAAATAACTGCTCATAATCCCTAGCAATGTGGTTTACAAAAGTTCACATTTTCCAAAGAAAGGATTGCTATTTTTGCAGGAGATAACACAACTGTCCGATACCACACAGTGGGTATGAATATGAAAACCTCAGCTTCATTACATCACTGGTTCTCTACCTCTGAAAGCCTTTTACACAAAACCTTGTAAAGCATCATTTGAAAAGTTACATGGGAAGGGCTCTGATAAAATTCCCCTCAAGGACAGGGTTTTTGAGATGCCTACAATAATACCACACCTGTCTACTAGAGCCAAATTCAGGAGAGCATTTGCACAAAAATATTTAGTGAACTGGGGCGAACACAACTAAGAAGCTCATCTTTAAGCACTGCACCAATGAGACTGCCTTGCCTGTGTCGAGGTAGGTAGTTGTTCAACATAGTGCGTCCTATATCCATAGTGTTTGCACCCTCGCTGACAATGATACAGTCATGTGGCAGCAGCTGGGAAATGTGGTGAAACACTGTGTAGTAGTTCATGGGCATCGTTGACTGAAGAGCGAGTGCCTGTAGATAGAAGGAGGACACAAATCTAATATGATATACGGATAAACAGTTTGAGTAACTATCGACATAAAGTAACATTTCAAAAGTGAGTTTAGACTCACCTTAGATATTTTTGCATTAGCAGCGATTTTGTTCTTCAGTGTGCTCCACCACTCTGTGTCAGAGGGATATTTCCAGCCATCTTTATGCACACCCTCTAGGAGCTGAGAAAACAATGAATAAAAAAAAAAAATCACCACTTTCCACAAACACACACACGCTGTTCTCTTATTGTTAATCTTAATTGCACATCAGGATATTATGAGAGAAGCACACAGCCCACAAGAAGAGAGATTAAGTACAAACATGAGCGTTTTTGTGCACCGACTAAGTTGCAGTTACCTGAGTGACAACAGCGTTGATGTCTCCCAGGAGAGCAACAGCAGGTTTCACGTTGTTCCCCATCTCCTCAGCACAAAGGTCAACCTGCATGCAGACAACAGCTGAGTTATGTTATTAAAGCACAACGTTTGAAGCAACAATAAAACACAGTGCAGGAGATATGGTCCAAGAAACACTGCACTGACATGACAGTATTAAAGTCTCTACACCAATGCTGAAATTAGTTTCAGCTAAAAGTGATTTTCCTCACATCAAACACACTTGGCTTTGTGTATATATACCTGGATGATCTTGACACCAGGATCAAATCTAGGTGGCAGACCAAAATGCAGAATCCAATTCAGCCTGGCTCCAAGCAGAAGCACAACGTCAGCCTGGAGAAGAGCTCTGGGCAACAGAAACAATGGAAGAGGAGATGAGGTAACACTGAGTTAGAACAAAAGCTTTACTAAATACACATATTTAGTGTATGTATAGAATGAACAGTATTAGATATAAACCTACATCTGAATATTACAAGAGCAATAGTGACACATATACATTAATTAACAAGTAGCGGAGGTTCAGGATGTTTCCTATGTAGGATGCAGGGTTTCTACAACTTCTTGAACATCACATTCAAGGACTTTCCATGCCAAATTTATTCATATTCAAGAACTCAACACGGTATTCACTTAAATCACTCTTGCATGCACGTCCCAGATGCACATCCTCGACTTAGTGGCGTATGAAACAACGGTGCAACCGCAGGAGACACACATGCACACAGCGGAGCGGAGCCTATTTACTAACATTAAGCAGAAAATTACATAAAAATAACTTCTATTTCTATTTCTTGCACAAAAATATGCATTCAAGCCCTTTCACTGACCCCTGTCTCCTTGCCTATTTTCAAAAACCTTCAAGAAATTAATTTATTCCCTACAATTCACAAAGAATTTCAAGGACCTGTGGCAAACTTGAGGATGATAATAATATATTTGGCTGAAATCATTGCACTTCACACTTTTTTTTACCCCTGCACAAATTTAAAGTGAAAGGGAGGCTGACCTCGAGCGGGCAGCAGCCACACAGTTGGGATGATCATCAGGTAGGACCCCTTTCCCCATGGGGGTAGGCAGAAATGGCAGACCGCTCATTCCCACAAACTCCCTCAGAGCAGTTTCTGCTCGACCATAGGCTGCTCCTGTTGGGCACCACAATGTTCATATCATCATGACTTACCTAATGAACTACTTGATTCACAAGCGTGTTATTCATTGTAATAGAGACAGTGCAAATGTTTGATGTTACCTTTGCCGATGATGACTAACGGTCTTTTAGCTGCTTTCAAGACAGAGATGGCTTCAGTGATTGCACCGTGGGGAGCCAAACTGACTGGTGGAGCTGGACAGCAGGACACAACTCTACAGGAGAAAGATACTTCTTTGAATTTCAATATGTCTGGAATCACAGGAGTTATACTGAGCAGAAATAATAGCATATTTATAAAAAAGCAAAATTATTGTAAACCTGACTGTGCTCCTGTCCACTTTAGCATTGACCATGTCCCCTGCAATGTCCACATAACAAGCACCTGGACGCCCATACATGCTTGTGCGAACTGCCTGTGAGCAAACACACGTAGTTAAACAATTAAACTTAATATCATTTAACTATGTAAAATCTCTTATGTAGTCTGCTGTGATAAAGAAAACAACACAAACAAAGATCACACAATATAACATTAAGCTGGTATATGACCTTCTCTATCACTGAGGGGATGGCTTCCAGACTGCTGGGCCTTGCAGAGAACTTGCTATAAAGGCGACATGCTTCCACCTAGCGACAATTGAAAAACAGGGTCAATTTGATGAAGCATCAGCTGACAAAAATCCACACGAAGGCATGCATTACTTGAGGAAACTCCTGAAAGGCTCCTGCTGTTTCCTGGTTTCGATCCGAGGAGCCTCCAATAACAACCACCGGCCTGTGCAAAGGCAATATACACTTGATAAACAACGTGACCAGGGCCCACAGGAACCACGTCAAAACTGTATATGCACCACAAGCTGTATCAGTTTATCAAGTCATACCAGCAGTTGATGTTAGCGTTGGCCATTCCACCCAGAGCATGAATGAGTCCAGGTCCAGACACCACCAGGCAGGCACCTGGTCTGAATACAACCAACCACAAGATAAGGCAACATGTAAAATGCAACAGCTGCTCCGTTTATTCTGTTGAGTTACTAAATGTCTTACCTTCCAGTGAGGTATCCAACAGCAGATGCTGCATAGCATGCCTGTTGGGTGACAGAATTTATTTTACATTAACATATCCTCATGTTCTTAAGGATTATAGATACGGGTAAGCAATGTACCAGAATATTAAGTGTTTTACCGCTTGTTCATTACGCATTCCCACATATTTGATCCCTTCAGCCTGAGCAGCCATGGCCACTTCCATGATAGGAACGCCAACGATCCCAAACATGTACTCCACTTTCTGCAGGTAGAGAAAATGCGCTTTTACAAACTGACACTGCAATGTAGGTACACCATTCATCATTATCCTCAGCCTATATCAGTAATCAGTGCTTAGGGAGGCGCAGAAGATACTGAATGACCCAACACATATCCTGAACCTTCAAACTGACATTGGATAATGCCAAATTGTAGATTACACCAGCACAAAAATTCATTTATTCCATCCTCAAAATACTAAAATACTTCATCATCAAAATACTGCAACCTGACTATTTATTATTTGGCTTGGTTACACTTGGTTTACTGTTAGAAACTGGCTGACTTTATGTGGTTTTGCTATGGTTTTTCAACTAGTCTGATTTTATCTGGTTTTATTAAGTGAAACTATTGTTTTTATTACTTTTATTATTTATGAAATTAGTGAATTTGGGCACCTCCAATGCAAGTGCTCCTCTGTATGGTGTCTATGTGTCTGTGTTTAGGGGTGTATGTTGTATGATGCAGCGGCTTTGAGTCCAAACCAAATTTCCCTGTGGACAATAACGTATACCTTACCTTACTTTACCTGCACTAGTTTTATGAAGGAGTGTGACTGCACATAAATTAACTACATTTTACAGGATTAAAAGTTAAAACTTGACTGCGCAGGACTTGAACTTTGACACACTTTTTGCATAACGTGCATGCGTGGTCACACTGTTACCTTTCAGTGCAGACACCGCTGCTAAGTTAAGTTAAAGGTTAGAAACAGAAGTTAAAAACTTCATACATATCCTCAATGTGTTTTAAACGGTCTTACCTGAGCCTTCAGAGACTCAGCTATCAGCTGAGCTCCTGTCACGTCGTCCATGGCTGTCCGCAGGCTGTTAGCTACGGTTTGTTACACTGTTGTCTGTCTGCAGAGGTTAAAGCGAGGCCAAATTGTTATAAACTGTTATAACTACAGCTACGCGAACAAGTTATTGACCCTCGTTTGCTTCAATCCTCTACCTTCCCCTTGAACCCGCCCCATTCCTATCGCTTCCGGGTTTCAAGCCAATCAGAGGCGCTACGAACAGTGACCTCACACCAAGGGACCAATAATATTATAGGTTCCTTGTCATGATTCATAAACACTTTTGCAGATCACTACATGCAGAAATATATTTATAAAGCAGGAACACAAACTGCTTTTTCTTTGATGAACATTTTGAAACTGGTTTATAGCTTTTTTGGCGTTATTCTCACACCAAGAAATTCTGAAAGGACTTCCGCAGATTTATCAGGGACCTTATCTGTAAAGACTACTTTATTATTATGGGAAAATGTGGTGTTAGGTTTCCTCAAGTACCCAAGAAGACAGCGTTTTTATTAAGAAATTTAGTGATGATTCTGGTAAAGTATTATATCCATATGTAAGTTTAGCAATAATAAACCTCACTACACGAAATTGCTCTTTGATTCCACCAACAAAAAGGCTATTGCTATCTGTATGTCTTATAATATCTTTGTGTAGTGTGCTATCTCCCTGGCTCTGTTATTGATGTGTTTGTGTTCTTTCAACTGGATCACTGCTACACTTGAAGAATAAGGAACGAAGAATGTTACCTCGCCCCACACAAGGAACATTACACATCCTCTGGCAGGTAGATTTAGCACTGGAATATAATAATGCAGAGCCAACTGTACTCACCTCACAGGCTACTGTTTACACATACATTTAAAATGAAAAATTCAAACTTAAAAATGTGTTGAATCTCCTTTGTTATTTGTTGTGCAATTCTAAATTCAATCCTGCTATCATACTTTAACCTGTCCCAGTTGAATGTGTATATCAACAGTATTTCAGATTAGTTAACTATTTGTAGTTTAGTTACTGGTTTAACTAGTTTGCAGTGCTTCTGTGGTGGTTTAACTGTATTAAAATCTCAGTGGCCTTTTAGTTAGTTACGTTATCTGGGTTATGTAGTTTATGTACTTAATTACAAACTACATATTCATAGTATTGTTGTGATGTATTTTGTCATGCAATGGGGCACAATGCCACAGTGTACTAGCCACAGTTGTCATTTAATTACAATCACCTGCTATTTTATATACTATGAATTTCTCTAATTGCTTAGCATTTTCCTGATTCCACCCTAACAATTACTCTCACTATTCTCTTTAAAACTCATCCTTGGGCTGCCTTGGTGACCGTTTTAATGTAGTTTCCTGCAGATAAATTTCACAACTGATCATAACAAATGAAAAAGCAAATGACACATAATGCCAGCTTTAAAGACTTTCAGGCAATGTCTTAACAACTCTAAATCGTATTGTTTAAATCATTGCCGTTTTGGAATAAGGCTGATGAGTACATCAAAACATCTTAATGAATCATGACTCTTGCCGTCGTCTGCAATAATAAGAACTGATATGTGTGGCCAAGGCTGACCACACAACAAAAAAACTTTACAAAACATAAATAGCACATTTGTAATAGATGAGAGATTAATCAGGGATCAGTACGAATAAAATCTGAGGGATAATGTTAAACTGATAAATATCAGCAGTCACAATATTAAGAGTAAAGCTTTAACACCAGTGCATATTAGTTACCCTAAAAATATAAAAAGGAAAAAAATGATAGTTCACTCATATTAGTGCCTTGAAATGAGCTGTACACCATTGTTATGCTGTCTTTTGACTTTTCAAAATCTTAAAGCAGTTAGTAATGACACTAACTATGGCTCTTTTCTGTTGACATCTCCCAGTAAGCTCTGACAACAAGCCCGCATGAACAATACCATCAACCCATAACTGAAGCAGCTAAATGGAACATTTTAGATTTTCACTCATGCTTTACACAGTGACATGTCAAAATGTGTCAAACTGCTTCAAATGCGTCATGTAGTTTGACAGAATCAAAAGGCAATACTCCAAAGAAGACTCGTGTTCATTATTAAATAACTCATTTCTTTATTACTCATAAAATATACAGCAATCTCAGTACTGAAAGAATTCATTGGAGCGTTGAATTCACAGTCATAATTTCTATGTACATGCTAGTTTCATCCCTCTTCAAGAAAAAGCAAGGAAAAGGAAAAAAAAAAACGTCTTTTCCATTCTACAGAAACTAGCAAATGTATTGTACATATTTCCAGTTAAAAGGATTTTTTTCAACAGACAGAAAAGGGGGAGATTTGAATCATGGTAGGATCGAGTGGTTTCATTTTTTCCTGTAGTTAAAGCAAGCAAAACCTGTCAACAAACATTGACTAATATAAGAGCAAAAAATATCATTCAAACAGAAGGAAAATCAAACGCTGCCCTATCATTGGTTTACAGTGTTTCTTCTCACAAAGCTGAGCCTCAGATACCTCAGTACAGGATCAGTGCTTCTTAGAAATGTCTCATTACTTACCTAGTGCGCATCACTGTACTTTCACAGCTGCCTCAACAAACTCATCATTTCTCAGTAACTAATGAAGGCACAAAATGAACACATAAATAGGAACCGAAATTACACAAATAATTTATTCTTGAAAGACTAAACCGCAATGGACAGGTCAATATACAAAGGTAAGGTCGATCAACTTAAAAATTACCTGGTGCACATATCAAATGTTTTTGAATGACTCAGGTCAGTAAATCAGATTTTTTTCCCCCCCTAAAGAGTTTAAGACATGAACATGGGTATATTAAAATTTTGATCTGAAAAAATAAATGATTTTCCACCTGTAGGATTTACAGACTTGATGACAAGTGCATTCTGACAGATGTAGTGTGCGGATATCAACCTTCTCTAACTCATCAAGACATTTCAAAAATGAAAACTGGCTCCTTTTCCCCCCAACTAACCAATAAACCCCCGAAAATTCTCAGTCGCATTTACACAGTTAAAACTGGGTTAAAACACATCCATGTCTTTTGGTCCCTGTCGGTTTAGCTCTCTGTGAAGTGCTACCATCCCTCTTTAGCAAGTTATTGCCGTACAAAAGTCGCTGTCCGCCCAACGAGTACAGTTTTTAGCACTCAAGAAGTCAGTGTCGGTAAAGCAGCGGTTACTGAGGTCCAGTATCAGCTGAAGGACACCTGGTGCTGGATGAGGTCTGGATGAGTGTGGGCCAGCCTGCTGCACCTCCTCCCTCTTTTGCTCTCTGGTGGGGAGGGGAAAGGGGGGGGACTCTTAAGGCTCCTGTGGGGGCTTTTCTTTCTTCTTCTGCCCTCCCAAGCTGGCGGTGGGTAATTTTTAAGACACAGTGTGTGTGTTTATGCATTTGTCGCTCCCTCCTGCCCCTCAGTACGTCTCAGAGTCTGAGTCATTGAGCTCTTCGTCCTTGTAGAGGCCGTCGTGATGGCTGATGTTGTTGAAACTGCAGTAGGAACTGTGCTCGTCGCGCAACGCTGGCAGGCTGTCGAAGGTGACGCTCTTGGAGGGGCTGGTAGTGTAGTGGTTAATGGCATTGAAAGGGAGGGTGGGTGCCGGGGTGCAGGGGGACACAGGCATCATGGTGGCCAGGATGAGGGCTAGGCAGTCTGCCACATCTTTGTTGGGGGCACAAGCCAAGGCGGGTGTGTAACCTGAAACAATGACAGCAGAGTAGTGTTACATACTCTGTTAAAGTAATACACAGCTTTGATTTCAGGCATTGGTGTTTGATCTGTTTAACGTCCAGTGTGCAGGATTTAGCTGTGAGGTTGAAAAACTAAGATTTCTCCCCTTCACTCCTTGGAAGAGAACCTGCTCTGTATGCATATATAAATGGCTCATTAGAAGGTAACAAAAACACAACTATTTTTATTTTCAGGTGATTGTAAACTAATGAAAACACAGTTAGGAATATTATATATAATTTCTGCCAATTATTGCCTCTAAATCCTACACACTGAATTTTTAACAATGAAAAGAAAGAAGAAGAAAAAATCTGAAGGCTGTCCGTCATTTTGACAAGTTAGAACAATGAGGGCAATCTACAGTAATTCACACCCCCGTCCAGATGGTGGTGTGTGCATATTAATTGGCTATTATCTTATCTTGTCTTTCATCTCATGTGCATGACCTTGTTGTTTAGCAGTTTTAGCCATCACACTGGTAGGCTGTAATGCTACACAGCAATGCAAAATGTCTCTGCTGTGACTGCCGAAAAAAATCATCCATTTCCTGTATGTGGTGTTGGCATGAAAAGTGACCGCACAGTCAGTGTCTCTGGTCGTCTTTTCTCCCCATGCCCCTATAAATGCAAAATCTATATGCCATATTGTTAAAAATGAATTAATGAAAATTAAATACTATTAAATATGTCATTATCATTAAAAAAAGATGGGTAATGATAGATTATACAACTCAAAATGAAGACAAGAAGAAAGTCTAATGCAGCCACTGCACTGGACCTTTAAATGATTTGGCAGTAATTACATGGCTTTTCAGATTCACTACACATAAAATCATAATGGACCTCAAAATTTCTCATTAAGCTGATCTCAAAAATCCATGTAAGACCTGACCGAGGCATATTTTAATTGCTTGGTTATCAAATTATGATCCTGTTTTACCTGGTCTGTCTTATTATTTATTCCCTAAATGAACTTTATCCACAACATTAGTCACGTGTTTTAAAAGGTTAACACACAGCTGAAATGTCTCAAGTGTTGAACTAATTTAAAATGAATATAAAATCAGCCTGTATGCTTAGTTGGCCCTTTCTGACACACTTAACATTAAAGACAATGGTTATTAGTAAGAGAAAAACAAGACTGTGAATTTACCGTTTTCATCAACTGCAAGTACACTGGCTCCCTTTGCAAGCAGCTCTTGCACCACCACAGTTAAACCATTTCTTGCAGCCACGTGTAGAGGCCTTAAAAGAAACATAAAACATGGATGCACCAACAGGAAAGTCAATATTGCGCAATTTATATCTCTACATTAATAATTCAAATCTCCAGAGTAATCTACCCACACCACCACTCCATTCCATCACTCAGATGCAGCAAGAAACCAGACACTAATGTCACATAAGTGATACATACGTCTGTAAG